TTGTTCACAATAGCAAGGAGTTGGAAACAACCTAAGTGCCCATCAACAAACAAATGGATAGAGAAGCTGTGGTATATTCACACAATGGAGTACTACACGGCACTGATAAACAAGCAACTCATGCAATATTATTAAAAATGAGTGACCCTGGAGCACATTATGCTGAGTGAAGTATCTCAGTCACAAAAGGACAAATACTGCATAGTGCCACTGTTATAAAACAGGACTGACCTCGGGGTTAGTGGGAGGCTGAGAAAGATGGGATAAATAATGTATACTGCTTTGAAACAGATGAGGGAGAAAACTGTTTAAAAGGGATATGTGATTAGGTATTACTGTCATGACAGGAGTCTAGAATGAAGGCTGCAGAGTGGAGTGGATCTTGGGGGAGGGATTGTAAAACAATGAAAGAATTTTCCTTTTACTTTTCAAAGAGAAGAGTGAACTGGGTGGGGGAGGGGTGGGCAGGGAGAAAAGTGCAACAATGAATGAATGGAAACCAAAGTCTCTGTAAATTTTCATTAAAATTAATATAAAAAATAAAATGACAATAAACCATAAAACCCCCCAAAATCCATCCCATATAATGTTTAAATTTCTATTTTTATTTTTAATTCAGTAAATATGGATAGGGAAGCTCTGGTATATCCACACAATGGAATACTTTGCTGCACTGAAAAATAAGGAACTCATGAAATATACAAAATAGTTAACCCTGGAGGACATTTTGCTGAGTGAAATATCACAGTTACAAAAAGACAAATACTGCATAATGCCACTGTTATAAAAGAGGACTGACACAGGGTTTGGGGGGAAGAATGGAAAACAGGGAATAAATGTATATTGCATTGAAACAGATGAGGGAGAGAACTGTTTAGAAGGGTTATATGATTAGGTGTTATATGTCATGACAGAAGTCCAGAATGAAGGCAGCATCGTGGTGTGGACTTGGAGGGAGAAACTGTATAACAATGAATTTTTCTTTTACTTTTCAAAGAGAAGAGCAAACTGGGGGGAGGGATGGGCAAGGAGAAAAGTGCAACAATGAATGAATGGAAATCCAAAGTCTGTAAACTTTCATTAAAATTAATAATAAAAAATACAGGCTGGATTTAGAAGAGGTCGTGGTACTAGGGATATTATAGCTAATGTTAGATGGATCTTAGCAGAAAGCAAAGAATACCAGAAGAATGTC